CGCGCTTCTCCCTACAAGGGTTAAGCACCCGTAGCGGCAACACGTCCAAGTCACCCTCAACCAGTGACCTAGCAAGGACTAAACCTCGCTGTGCTAACTCACCACCACCCTCCACAGGCTCAACAAGAACAGGACCCTCAACAACCTCACACAACCTTGAAATGGTGCCGAGCACCACAGCCTCATGGCCAGAGGGAATCTCCGTAGTCTCAGTGACAATTACCCTCCCCACAAACGACTCACCAGCACTATTAGTGCATTTAATGTGCTCACCATTTAACCTCAGTTGAAGAGATTGCAGATCCAAACTCGCACCCAAGGGCAACAGGAAATTCATCCCCAGAATTCCTGAATACGGGACGTCGGCAAAGATCACCTTCGCAGTGGCTACTGTCTTCCCTATCTGTACCTCCACCCAGGCAGCCCCAACCACTGCCAACGGACTACCATCAACTTGCTCCACCTTCAGTCCTGTCTCCAAAATTGGTCTCTGTTCCCGTGGAATTTGGTGATACACTATGCTGCTCACCACAGTGTCGGTCGACCCGGTATCGATGAGAAACCTACACTTGGTGCCCCGTATCGTCCCATCCACGAACAAACCATATTTTGCCCTTCCCCCACCCATGGGGCCTGCGACCACTACTTGGTCGCTTGCCCCACCTGAGGGTCTCTTCTGACTACAACCTCCTGTGGGCTCTGTGAATTTTCCAGCCTGCCCGCGAGCCCGCCGGTCGGCTGGACGGCGTTTCCCTGCTTGGAACCTTGCTTCGGCCGCAACCTCTTACATGCTCGCCGGAAATGACCTGGTTCACCGCAGTTATAACACCTCAGATCACCTCGCTCCTTCTTAGGAGTTTTAGGTGATCTCGACGGAGACACAACCATCTCTTTTTCCCCACTTTGCTTCTGCTTCGACAACTCAGAAAACAATGACTCGACCATGGAACACACCCTCTTTTCGATGGCATGCCCCATCTCCTCAAGCCTATCCTCCGGACTACTGTCGAGTGCTCTCGCAAACTTGGTCGGCTTGCTATCTTGCCTCCGCTGCTGCTCAACTCTTTCAAAATTCTCAGTTTCCAGTGCCGCCCTAACAGCCTCATCAAGACCTCTTGGACGGGCTCGATGAATGCCCTCCCGCACTGACTGACTCTCTACAGCATCCATGAAATGATTCTTGGCAAGCCTATCCCTGGCTTCTTCCTGTATCTCAGGATAAGCCTTCACCGTCAACTCTCTAATAGCCTGACCCAACTCACGAAGAGTCTCCTTTGGTTTCTGCCGACGATGCCGTAAATCCACCAAAAAGTTCTCAGCTTGTTGACTATGACCAAACCTCTGCTCTAACAATTTCACAAGCTCACCATAGGTGTGCACGCGACCAGACGGTGCACCCTCACCAATCAACCTCAGTGCACTACCCTGTAAACTTGCGGACAAATACTTGACAGCCTGCAAATCGGTCCAACCATTCACTTCCCGACAGGATTCAAAATGCCTGAAATACTCATTCCAAACAACCTTCCCGTCATACCTGTCTGGCACAATGTGAGGGCGACGTGACGTCCCACTCACATACCCCGGACAATTAACCTCACCAACTACCCGCGGCTCCCTCGTGAATTTCCAAGGAACTGCTTCAGCGTCACTGCAACTCTCTGTGAGGTTGCTAGTACACCTCGTTGGCGGTCGTGTCGCAAAACTCATTAAGTCCGCATGCAGCGTCCGAGCATCACTCGCAACAACCCCTACAAACGGATTTGTGACTGGACTCAGTCCAAAATCACCACCAGACCTGACCCCAGGCGAAGACTTTCCCTGTGGTGTACTGGTACTAAGGTTCGCCCCACCAGGTTTAGCCAAACCTCCTTTGGGTTCACCCTCAAATGAAGCATACCCCGAGGTTTCCCTCGGCAACCTGAAATTGATCTCCGAATCAACCTCAGACCGAACACGACCCTCTTCAGCAGGCGTGCTCGAAGTTTTTCCCTTCCGGAAGTTCCGCCGTAGCTCAGCTTTCAACTGTTGAACCTCCCATTGCAGCAATTGATTCTCTGCCTCCAGGGACTTGTCAGCATTAACTCCCGGGGAATCAACCTCACCCGAAGTGACAACACTACCCTTGAAACTGTCGCTCATACTGACGTCTGCAACCGACAACAGTTGCAGTGAAAACCAGAACAACCAAAATGGGTGCAATCAATAACGAACAAAATATTGACGACAACACCTCACAAGAGGGTTATTAGTAAACCTCAGCAACCTTACAAAGGATGCTGTCAACCTCGTGAAAAGTAAAACTAAAGCATCCCACTTCTGACACCATTTGTGGCGCGCTCGCTTGTCTATGGATAAGGAATTACACCCACACCAACAAGAGCTGACTATCCCACAAATATATTTAATGACCTTACATGCGCATGAGCGGTTACACGCAAATAAGGGGGGACTACGTCACGAACGGAGGATTCAAGTCCTAGGCCTGTCCGTTTGTTGGAAATATACCAACGCTAAAGGAATACCAATTCACGTGGCAAGCAACCTAGAGGTGACCAGGGAACCTCAATAAACCTCACTACACATGTGTCTTAGAGAACAAGAAACAACTCTTTATTCGGTCCAAATACACAAGCTTAAGGTTCAATGAGTGGCCAATAAACCTCGCAGAACAACGTTCCCCGCTGCTCTAGGTTTATCCCTATAAAGTAAGCCTTACACAACAATAACCTCTTATTGTACAATGCTTACAACAACCAGCCTAACCAGGCTCTATGTAATTAACCTCGTTGACTAGCTAGAACGATTATCCCACAGTGGCAAGAACCTCACTGCGCACACCCAGTGCGATCAACAGCAACAAGTTATGAACTGCACACACTGATCAAGACTTTACCAGAGTAACCCTCACATGCAACCTAGCATACAGCAATCACTGGGCTCAGGTTACGGAGCGCGGTTTAGAACCCCGAGGTGACTCCTGGCGACAAAGGTCGACAGGCGACAGGCAACCCAATTCCCGACCAGGGAATACTGCTGCACATACCACACGAACCTTAGGTCTCCAGTCACCAGCTCAACCCACAGCCACCCAGGCTAATTTCCCCTTACAACAAAAGGTCTAGCTTGCTAATTATTACTCTAAAGTCTCACCATCCGCCCTTGACTTGCACGCCGCGTTGCCCAAACTATCTCTACGTCTACACACGAGGTTTACTCGGATTCGGAGCTCAACGCAATCGATGTTCACACAACGGCGTCTTTTGACGGACTACCTACAAATCTCTGACTACGCGCTATACCCTACGCACGACGTCGGGGAACCAGGCGAGCCATGGTAAACTCGCACCAGTCCACCGGCTGTTTCGCCACAATACCCTTTTGAGTAATCACATGGGAACATATGCCCTTTAATTCTTTCATCGCAGAGTAAAATAAATGTATAAATCTGCAAAATTAGCATTTCATATTCTTTGTAATGTTATATAAAAAAAGCCAAATTATGAAACAGAAACTTTGTTTGTTCTCAAACCAGCTTCAATTGTGTGTCTTCGCCTCCATAACGTCCATGAATCATCCATCTTTTCCCAGTGTTTTTAGCTGCACTGTGCTTGTCATTCAAATGATCCGGGCACTGTTTTGTCTAGACGGCCTAGGTAATTCAGAGAAGATATCAACCCACTCATATCTTACATGTCTACTTGAATTATTCTCATGAGATACCACCGAGTCAGCGAAATACTTTTTGATTCTAAGCTTGAGCTTTCTAATTTCCAAGCTAAAAGACAAATCAGAATCCTTTGAAACATTCCATTTATCTGACATACAACTTAAAAGACAACCAATAATAATTCAGTGATTCAATATTTTGAACAGGTGGATTGAGGGTCTGAGATCTTTTGTTTGATACGAAAAAAGAACCTAAAGTTCACGACTTTAAGTAATTACAACACAAAACTTGATTCCAGAAGGAGGGTGGGGAGAGGTAGAGTTTAAAATGCTATGTGACACACATGGTAACTTGATCTTCATTAAAATGTTTAACATTCTTACAAATAGTAAATCTCTTAAGAATTCCTGAGGAGCCAGACTCAAATATTCAAAATAGGAGTTCTTGGTTTTAACAATTTTTTTCATGTTTATATAGATGAGTGAAGGCTGTATATTCTGAGAAAACGTTATTCAAGAATCTTGATTCCAATTAAAAAGTTGCTGAGTCATGTTTTGAATTGCGCCCGAATTCAGCGTCTGGGACATGTTCTCATTCAGCAGATTGCAGCTACGCCATGTCATGCACTGAATCGAAAAATTATAGCAACTGCGCACGCGTGTGCGTCGCGTCAACACTTGCGCGCACCCATTCACGGCTTCGCTAAATTAAAAACAAACTACTTACAAAAATCTCCAAAAATGCGTCTTTAGACGCATCTTTGGAAATGACCTTCTTTTATTGTTTTCTTCAAAATGACAGCATGCCAGACAAAAAAAATTCACATGGAGTTTAGCGCCATTACTATCTTTAAGCCAAGTATGCTTTTGAGCAATAGTTTTGCCAGTTATTTTTTGGATAGCTGCAAATGATGTACTCTACCTTTAAATAAAACATACAAATTGAAACTTTGTAAGGAGAACAACAATCAGATATGTTGAAGAGTACAGGTAGAGCAACTTCAAGCACACGAGCAATGAGTCATTGCTAAACCAAGATGATATACATGGAAAATGCACATGAAATCTAAGGATTGCTTGTATAAGTTACAATTTGTGGGGAAAAAAATTGGGAGGGGACCCCCAGTTCCCCAAAAGGAATTTCAGCTTTCAGCATTGGCCTTGGATAGCTGCACTCCATTCCTCTGTACCAGTATGAATGCACCCCCCCCCCCCACACACACGTGTGTATTTGCCTGCAATCGGGGACCCCCTAAATCCCTCTTTTGTTTGTACTTACTTTTTAGGAAGACCTCCCGTATGTTTTGTACACGATTGTAAATTGGGGACCTCTCGGGAATTGGGGACCCTATTATCCTCTGTTGTTCAACGTCCCCTATTGAATGCAGAAACAAACTCACACACCCCAGTTTGCAATATTTCATTGGTAAGATGTCTTTTGCTCCCAGTTGAATAGCCAATCAAAGTTTCTCCAACTGCTACCTTTTCTCTTGTCTCCTTGAATTTCTGTGACTGTCTGATCGGGAATGTCTGTCCTTGTGTTTACTTTTCCTCTTGTGTTTGCTACTCTTGCTTCTCTTCCCGTGTCTGTGGTGACCCCTTCTGTGACCATCGTCATCTGAAGTGATCGCCTCTTTCGAAGGAGGACTTGTGCTTCGAGTCCGCTTCCGGTGTTTTGTCGTCTCATAGCGGTGACTGTTATGGTTATGTGTCCTCTCAGAATCACTGGAATTGGACTTGCTATCTCTGGGCTCACTTCCTCTGATGAAACCTCCGTCAAGATGCGATGGTCTTGCATCCCTTCTTTCAGGATGGTCATCATCAGCCTCACCAGCCAATGTCCCCAAGGATGTGGAGTCCTGATTGGGCTCCTTCAAGATTACATCATGGGATGATTTGGCATTCCAATTGTCAGTAATGGGTTTTGACCGCTCGGACTCGACTGTTCCTGAGCCGTGTCCATACCTCTTCTGGCGATGCCGCGAGTCGGTGCCGTACGAGCGGAGTGTGCTTACAAGCGTGCTGTGCAGGAACCTTTTGTTTGTGGTAGCTTTCCTCTTCTCCCTATAATTGAATACAAGATAAACACATTAAGTTACATAAAAAAAAATTGAAAAAACAACTGGATGTCCCCAATATATCCCTTGCCTGAAAAAAAGGAGAATGTGAGACGAGTGTTACTTTAACTGAAAGCTCGTTCCAGGAGACATGGAGTGGACAGGGAATGAAAATAGGTATGCCACTCCGTAGTCATGAAGTGGAGACGTTTCAAATTCTTTAGAGAATAGAAACAGGTGAATGGGAAAAAAAAGTGTGGTCAAGTTTATATGGACAGTTCTGCAAAAGCACCCCTTGGCACACATACATGAATGCAAGATGTTACGCTATACAGGGCGAGTCAGAATGATCTGGACCGAGGTTCACCATTTTTTTGTGGCAAATAGAGTATATTGAGAAAAAAACTAAGTGTTTTATATGAATGTTTATGAATTTCATATGAGTTATGCCATTTTCATTTAAGTGGCTCATTTTCCAGTCTGCACATGGAATTGGTTTTGCCTTTTTTTTTTTAATGTGTCAATAACTCCAAGTGAGTCAGTCACCATGACTAGGTTTTTATGTGTCATTACACTGCTTCACATCAGTAACGCGATTTCAATCGATTTGTTGAACCATGGAACCGTGGTCAGAGTGTTTTTTAGCGTGTGTTTTTTTGCTAGGGCTTTTCATCAAAAGAGTACAATGGATATACATGAAACCTTCACCAAATATGTCTAAAGTACCAGCCTATAACAAATCTCATTTGCACTTGTTTTGATAATTGCCACATGTTTTAAATATCTTCTTTAACAAGTATGTCTCTTCCTATACCTTTTCCAAGAAAAAAACTTATACAGAAAACAAAGTTTCTATTTTGAGGAGTAAATGGCAGCCAAGTGCATCTAGACACTTCTCTTTCCGTTATAATGTCAAGTCGCAAAATGAGGGGCAAATCTTCAGAGAGTCTTTGGGAAATTTATTGAGTGTACTGCGCACAATACAAAAAGTAAGGATGGCATCATTTGTTTGGTGGAATTTGACTAATATGAGTTTTCTCTGGCATCTAACAGGTTGTCACGGTAATTTGTGATTTTTTTTAGTGTATTTCAATTTTTGTGACTAATGTTGGAAAATTTAATAAGGGAATAAATGTGTGCTCCGGAGGTTTTTATCACTCGTTTAATACCTTAATACCGCTTAGAGTCTGGGTGCTGATAATTACCCGAGCCGGAGGCGAGGGTAATAATCAGCACCCAGACTCTAAGCGGTATTAAACAGAGTGATAAATACCGACCGAGCACATATTTATTCCCATTCATAAATACCTTATCCGTAAAAAAATATCAAATAATTCGTTCAAAAAATCCCGATTTTGTTCAACAAGTTCACTTCATGCTTTTTGAAACATCCCTCTAGCAAAATAATGGAGTGTTCAGCTGGGGAGTAAGATGTAAACAACCCTTTTATGGAGATTGACGCGCGCGTAACATGTTCTGCGCGATGTCACGCAGAACGCACCTGGGGCGTTGCGTTTTGAATTTAGAACTATAAAATTCTGACTCGCTTGTAGTGTTGCGCATGCCTACTTGAGGATTGTGAACGTTCAACCAATGAAACGGTAAGAGGCTCTGGATTTTTAGGAGTCCACATTTTATTGTGACACTGGAAAAGTGTTTAAGACCAGCTAGCCATGTCTTTATCATCCGTTTAAGACCGGCCACGTGACAGGCTCTCGACCAATAGGAATAGCTAAACTGTCTGAGGTATTTATGAATGTGTTTTTAATAATATTTATTATTATTAATAAGAAATGTGCTTTTTAGTTGATTAGAAATTATTGGGGTCTCATATATTCTGGATTATCCTTTTCAAAGAAGATGAGAACAATTAGCCTCTGTACTGATGACCTCACATTTTGTTTACGTGTGTGCTTTCCTATGGTGCTCAGTGAACCGTGGGCCCCCACTGGCTCCATAGGAAAGTGCTCATGTAAACACAGTGTGACCGGCATCAGTAGGCCCTACAGAGGCTTATAGGCATAATATCCAACACTTAAATTATCAAATAAACCACAAAGGGAAACTGACTAAGAGAACCGGTATGAAGCACTGCTGCAGTACTTCATTAATTCGGGGTACATGTAGTTAAGTTTTTTACTTTTCCAATCACTGCCTGTTATATACTGTATCAATCATTGTTGATATGTCAATCACGCCGGTCTGCAGATATAATGGGCAGGCGTCTGCCTCTAAGAAATGGCAAAAGGTTTCTTATTAAACATAATTGCTAAACGTTTATAAAATTAAACGCAAAGTCACATCCTTACCGCAGCAGCAAGGATTTTATAAATGGAAGAACTGTAATTTGAAGATGACATGAAAATCGCAAAGAGATTGAAATCCGGGAGGAGACATGAATTCGGTATAAACCCACATGAAATCAGAAAGCTAGACGGAATTAAAAAAAAATAAGGAAAAGGAAGCATCAACAACCACAGAGCACATACTTCATCACAGTATGAGGCATGTACATGTAGTGGGTATACCAATCAAAAGTAAGGAACTGACATAAGACTACATTGCACAAGGTTGTACAAATATGTAAAGGCTTTCGTTTCCACTGAAAAACATAGTCAAGTGAACGAAAGTGTAGCCCTCTGTAATACTACAGACTGAAGCAGCACTTAAAGTTGAGGAATACATGTATGTTTCCTTTGAAGTGCCTCTGGAGTAAGTTTTCAGGAATGGGGACTGTGTTGATCTTTCCTCCACTACTGGATCTACTTTTGAACATGAGCATTTGAGCAATACCCATCCCATCGAAAAAGTTCTTCGTGAAAAACTTCAATTGAAAAAACATCTACTTTTCTCATCTACATGGATATAATGTACATTGTACATCTAAATATGAGGTTGCTCTGGTCACACTTATTAAAAAAATTTCTATGACAATCAAGTGCAAAGTTTTGAAGACAAATTCTGCACAGTGCATCTATTGTGATCGTATTCAGTTATTGTGTAGCACACAACTGTTGAGATTGATTGGCGCATAACTGAAGCCCATGTCTGTGTGTTTGTGGATATGTATTGGTCATGTACATGTTGTTCACAGCAACATCCATCCAATGTTCACGACAGAATTCTATCATCTAAGATATTGATTAAAACTTTCCAAAAACATTACCCGAATGGGTTTGAATCCTGACCGTGGGAACATGGTGCTTGTGCTCTTGAGCAAGGCACTTTACCATTATTGCTTCGTCCTTCGGATGGGACGTAAAAAAGTGGGTCCCGTGTGTTGTGTAATGCAAGTTAAAGACCCCAGTAACACTTATCACTAAGAGAAGGGGTTTGCCTCGGTGTTTCTGGCAGTGGCTGCAATATGCACTGCAGCATCTTGTAAACCATTATAAGGTGCTACATAATGGGTCTCATATTTCTCATAAACTTTATTTACCTTTCTTAAATAATAGACATATCTCCAGCGCCTTGAGTACCTAATAGTTGGTAGATACGTGCGCTATATAAGACTCCGATATTACTATTATTATTATTATTAATTAATATTATTATTATTATTATTAGTTGGTAGAGTGACTGAACTATAATCTGGAGATCAATTTCAAATCTCACTCCAGTCTATTTCTTCGTTCAACTTTAAAACCATTTAAACTTGATAGCATCTGTAAAAGTGACCCTTTTCTCTGAAATTTTGTGCCACTTTTTTTCAGATAACAGAAAAAAGAGACTGAACGAAAACTTTAAATAACCGAACAACAACAATTCTCGTCACGTCATCAACAATCCCTCACAGGTGTTTCTGCGCAACATGCTCGCAACACAACAAGACAGCAAGCAACATCTTATCAGAGTGAGGCTGGTGCTTCAACAGGAGGATCGTGCTCCGTTAATGAAAAAGAGATGAATTGATTGATTACGAGATAACGGAATAGGTGGACTGAGTGAACTGAAATACCCGAGATGGGGGGAGGGAAGAGAACAACTTAATGTCATACAGAGAAAAAGCTCTGACAGTCATGTGACATTTACAACTTTTCCAAAACATTTAAACTGAACCCGAATTATAAAAAGGGATCGTCACTCACATAATCTTCCTTTGAGTTAAACATAATCAGTACAAATTGATATATTGTATCAATCATTGTTGATTTATCAAGTCAATCATGCCGGTCTGCAGATATGATGGGCAGGTGTCTACCTCTGTGAAATGGCAAAATGTTTCTTATTAAACGTAATTGCTAAACGTTTACAAAATTAAACGCAAAGTCACATCCTTACCGCAGCAGCAAGGATTTTATAAATGGAAGACATTTAATTTGAAGGTGACATGAAAATGGCACAGAGATTGAAATCCGGGAGGAGAAATGAACTCGGTATAAACCCACATGAAATCAGAAAGCTAGACGGAATTTAAAAAAAATAAGGAAAGGAAGCATCAACAACCACAGAGCACATAGTTTTCATCACAGTATGAGGCATGTAGTGGGTATACCAATCAAAAGTAAGGAACTGACATGAGACTACATTGCACAAGGTTGTACAAATATGTAAAGGCTTTCGTTTCCACTGAAAAACACAGTAATGTGAACGAAAGTGTAGCCCTCTGTAATACTACAGACTGAAGCAGCACTTAGAGTTGAGGAATACATGTATGTTTCCTTTGAAGTGCCTCTGGAGTAAGGTTTCAGGAATGGGGACTGTGTTGATCTTTCCTCCTCTACTGGATCTACTTTTGAACATGAGCATTTGAGCAATACCCATCCCATCGAAAAAGTTCTTCGTGAAAAACTTCCATTAAAAAACATCTACTTTTTTCATCTACATGTACATGTACATGGATATAATGTACATTGTACATCTAAATATGAGGTTGCTCTGGTCACACTTAAAATTATTTCTATGACAATCAAGTGCAAAGTTTTGAATACAAATTCTGCACAGTGCATCTATTGTGATCGTATTCAGTTATTGTGTAGCACACAACTGTTGAGATTGATTGGTGCATAACTGAAGCCCATGTCTGTGTGTTTGTGGATATGTATTGGTCATGTACATGTTGTTCACAGCAACATCCATCCAATGTTCATGACAGAATTCTATCATCTAAGATATTGATTACCGTACCCGTCTGCTATATCTCTTTAGAACTGACCAGCCAACACTGGCAAGCTAAGTGGCCAAGTAGTTAAGAGGTCTTCTCCTGTAGCATTGAAGGGGGGGGGGGGGAAGAGTTGAACCCCCCCCCCCCCATGACGCCACCACCCCCCATCCCCAAGACACCCCCACCCCACCTCCACCCCCAAAAAAATAACTGAGGGAAAGGAGGGTGCATTGTAGGCGCACAAGGTTGAAACCATCAATACGACCATCCGGCATAATATCAAAATTTCAGGGGGAAACATTTGATAAACCCCCCATGACAAATTTCTCGCTATGCTACTGTTAAGCAGGAGATCATGGGTTCTAGCCTCATCAAACTAAGCTTTTGAATTTGTGTTCTTGCAATCGCCTTGTCAACACTGAGTATACAGCGCTTAAAATATTTTGACAATGGGGAAAACAAGAATTATAACGTCAAAAAGCTTTCAGAGAGTACATCTAGTGCTTTTTATCTAAGAACTTCTCTTCTGCATGCCTCCTTCATCATTCATAACCGCCCCCAACAAAACTACAAAAATCTTAACGCCAACCCAAATCCATGCTTCAATGTTCAACTGTATGTCAAACCTAGAAGCAAAAACTCAATTCAACGGCTTAAAAAAGCAATACCCCTAAACCTTCATCAGCCATCTCACCCCCCCCCAAAAAGAAGAAAAAAATATTCTGCTGCAGTGTTAGCTTTAAGACTACAAAATGGAATAATTTACTTCAACATGATTTTTTTTGGCACTGATACGTAAGTGAAAAGTTCAGCCAAAAACCCACTTTGACTTATTTGAAAGTTTTGGATTGACTGAAAAAGGTTATTGCACTGGCAAGTGTAGAGCATCAGGTGCATGTCGATGACCAGATAACAGGAATAACAAGTACTGTTGACACAATATGCCAGTCAGATTTTACCATCCCCCACAAAAAAATCAAATACTAATCAAATTCAAAGACAATCCCCGACTGCCATCCTTTGCTTTCAAAAGATTAAAATTTGCTCAAAAATTCCCGACGGGGATCTGTCCAACCGAAGCCTACTGGAAAACAAGTTTGAACAACACGATGAAAAAGATGAACCGACGGGGGGAAAAAAAGCTGCTTTGTGCTTAAGGTAGAGAGCATTTGTCTTGTTTGGAACTGGGAAGCTATTAGGAACTGTAACGGACAGCATAAGCTCCTAGATTCTCCAAATATCAGCTTTTCATGAATAACATCAATAATTCATAAACTCCTTAAAAATTATGTTTATAAATGACCAGGCACTTATGTTTTATTCATAGTCTGCTAAATCCCACATTTCTGTGTTTTCTTTTTTTCTCCGAAATAAATTAAGAGGAAAAAAATTGCTCTGGCACAAAAATACGTGCTTTTTGGGTGTGGCACACCAAAAAATAACAAACAGATTTTTAAATTGAATTGACAATTTTTCTAGCATTACATGTACATTAGTTATGAGCTTTCCAATGAGACACTGAAAGAAAAAGATTGGCCCACGATAAGTAATCTATTAATTCATTTCAAATTTGAATTAGGTTCGTTCTACTCCTAATTCAGCTCTGAAGCCAGGCAGGACTTTCATTTGTAGTGTGCACATGCGCGTTTGCGACTGCAGTTTATTACAATATCAACATCACATATTACAAGTAAACTTACATACATGTATGAACATGTTCATCTTTTCAAATCGTGGACGAAAAATACCAGAGAACAAAAGAGAACAATATCGTCCACGATTCCCAGCATATGTCCGCGATACAAACAAAAGAGGGACAATAGGACATCCACGATCGATGGTGAACACACGTTTGTGTGTGTGCATTAGTGTTGTGCATCGGGTTGGGTTGACCAGGCCAAACCGACCCGAAACAGTATAAAACCTAATCTGAACCGAAACCGATCTGAACTCCCTAGAATGGACCCAACCCGACTCGAAAAAACTTCAAGGAAAACCGACCCTAACCGACCTGAAACTGATCCGACCCGGAAAAAAAACGAATGGTACAAATGCCACACAGAAATTGCAGTTAAGGCCAAAAAAAAAAAGAAGTCGGTCTCTGGTCAGCGTGCGCGTCGTTTTTAATCATGCGCGTCAATCTTTTTTTTTCCCAAAATGTTCCGCGGTAGCTCCAACAGCGCCAGTGTTTCCGCACCTCCTCAATTTTTTTTTACAAAAGAGCACCAAGGAATGGGAAATTGCACCAAGGCAAATGATCGAAAGCACCAAGGCAAATTATGGAGGACACCAATGTACATGAGGACACCAAAAAAGCAAAATACAAATGTAGTACCCACCTTGTCTGTACAATCCAAGCTTGAAGAAAAAAAAGCAAAAAAAAAAAGAAAAAAAAAAAGCCGCGTAGCCGCGTCAATTCCGGAACTTTGGTCTGACCAGAGACCGAATATTTTTTTTTTTGGCCTAAACAATTCTTACTGCAAAACACTCCAGCGCCCCATATCAATCGCCGCACCCAAATTTTAACTGGCACACTCTTTGTGCAACTTTTTACCAGCGCAGCATGCAATTGCAGCTGGCAGTTTTGAATATCCCAATATTCTGTCCAATGCAGTTTCGAGTAAACAAATACTAAATTATTTGAAAACTTGAATATATGTATTTTGCTCTACATACCATCCATACGTGCCCATGGTCTGTGATCTCTCTTTAGCTCTCTTGGCTTCATTTACTAGTTCCTCTACAGCCAGCCTGTAAAAGATTGAAAGGGAATGAACATTTGTTTTTGCTGCAATTTTCAGTAATAAATGGATTTGGAGGATTAGTATGTTAAAGCAAATATTGTTAAACTGACTTGTTTCACATTTTGTACTTGTAGATGCTGGAAAAACCAAGAAAACCAATCGCGATGTTCTTATCGCCTGGTTCCCTGACCCCACTTAAGATGAAACGGAGCAATTTATAGACTTTGGGGAATTGTAAGGTCAGAGAAAAAGTCTAGCAGGCTTGTACCCCTTCACAGGTGTGTAATCAATTGCGTAAGAAAATGCGGAACAACTAAAAATGAACAATTAGAAGCAGTCTTTGGAAAAAGCCAGTTTTTTCCAACGCTGGTCAGCCGACCAGCGTTGGAAAAATACAACTTTTCTTGAAAGTGTCAGCACACAAGGAGCCATGATTTTACAGGATGCTTAAACAATCAAGTAAGATATTTCGTGATAATTTGATCATTTCGGTTTTTTTTATGTTTGCAAATGTTGTATCTTCCCTTTGATAAAAGCAAAAGTATGACACAACTTTGTCTGTCCACGTACAACAAATATCGACTACAGGGATGCAGTTTCTTAGTACATTTCATTTTCAAACAAACAAATGAATTTGCAAAATTCGACAAACACACAAATCTAACACTAAAATATATATTTAGTTCTGTCCTTCGCTGACGATTTTCTTCTTATAAACACTGTATACATGTACTCCATGTTGTCCAAGGGCTTGTGAGAAAAACTTCACAAGCTTACCTCAATATAAAAAATAAATCTCCTTGACGTAAATTTCATCTTACAAAAATCTAACACTCCTGTTTCTTTCGAGTATTAACTGGACGCAAATGCTTCAAAGTGGCTTACATACATCCCTGGTGTACTAACCTTAATCTTTTGGAAATTTGGGAGGTACATTTGTAATTCAAGGAAGACCAATTCACCCATGACAGATTGATCTTGAAGTGATCGGAACAACACAAGATACAATCCAAGTAGATGGAATCGGGAGAATCAGTAGTAAGGACTCTAGAACGAGACTCAGTAAAAGTCAAGGACAATACTTTTTTTATCCCCAAATTCCTTAATCGCATTATGACAGCAAGTGCCCATTGTAGAAAAAAATCAGGATATTTGTGTTGCCGTCCTTAGTGAGGTTTTAGAAAAGAAGCTTGAGGAAAATCCATTAGGACAAATGCACACGGACCTTAGGCCAAAAAAAAAAGTCTCCGGTTTCTGGTATGCGCGCGCGTCGCCGTAGCCATGCGCGTCGGCAAAATGAAAAAGTTTTTTTTTCAATGAAATATGATGTCTCAAAACCGCCAAACTCACTGGTTTGACTGGAATCCTGCTGCTGCACAATCTTAACGTGTTTTTAGATTGGGTTATGGTCGAGAATAAGCTTTATGTGGCCTCTCTGGACTCCCATATATTTGCACTAAGTTTAGTCGGGCACCATTTGCAGTCATCAGCGCACATTTGAAGCAAAAAAATCAGGTAAAAAAAAAAAAAAAGCCGCGTCGCCGCACCACTTTTTGGGCAAGCTCCATACCAGAAACCGGAGACTTTTTTTTTTGGGCCTTAGTGTTTTTGGTTTTTTTGCAAACGAGGAATACTTGAATAGAGCGTTATTTTTCCATCTGTAATGCATGTCATGAATTCTAATCAATACGAGTATGACATTTGATGCCAAGTCACTGTCCCTGGGTAAAAGTAAATTCAATTTTTAAAAATCTCCTTGCTGGACAAGGTAAGGAATCAATAAACCTCTCACTTTTGTGTTAAACTTTACTTTTATATTCGAATATTATGATTCTTATCCATTAAAAACCCTTTTTCGAGGGGTTAGAGAACGATAGAAATGAAAGTAATGCACTGTGGTGTGTATGGATTTTTTTCCTTTAATTCAGCAGTCGGCATGCATACGCAGTAGCGTGACTAGGGTTACAATTCTGAGGGGGGTACCTGGGGGTGCACACATTTTTCAAGGGGGATACCTGAAAGCAAGTGATACAAAAATATGTATAAACTGTTCACTTCAAGATTTCAAATGGGGGGGGGGGGAGGGGGGGGCCCACCCAGACATCTGTTGGGGGGGGGGGGATGTCGCATCAGCGATTTTATCCTGAATGACCTTTGACCGGGACTACTTTATGGAGATACTGAACTAGCTTGTTGTATTGTCTACTTTCAAGAGAGCAATCACAATTCAGATATCCAAGCCTGTGTCCCCCCCCCCCTTCCCAACATACCCTTGTGTGACCACAATTGAAAATGCCAACTCTTAACCCAAGCAACTCCAGAACTATCATCTCACAACACTCTGCCACATACACGTACATGTATCTCAAAGACACTCAAGGGCGGATCCAGGGGGGGGGGGGGCCAAAGGGGGCCATGGCCCCCCCCCCCCCCAAAAACGAAACCAATTTTTTTTTTTTTTTATGTGACATCGCAATAAAGGCAAGCAATGAGTACACCACCATCTTTTCCTCAAAAAAACATTGGTTAAAGTGGTCAGAAATTGCCTCAGATCGCACCACAGAGCATCTAGAATCCAAAAAATTTTCGGGGCCCTTAAGCAGGCCCCGAACCCCACGCCGTAATTTTTTTTACCCACTTTTTTGGGGGACCAAAATTTTTTTTGGCCCCCCCCAAAATTGTGTTCTGGATCCGCCCTTGAAGACACTCTTTTTTTCTGTCATCATTTCTAGGAGTGCATAACCCATCTAATACAGAGCTGCAATCCGCTTATGATCACAGTATAAGTGTAGCGACACGTCTTGTTCTTCTTTCTAGCAATGTACTCATTGTGACTGCTATGGTGCTTTTGCTTTGGTGCTCTTTGACTTTAACACCGTAAGGATCTTACAGAGTTTATCACACTACTTTGTTTGATCATCTGCACTCCCTTGGTAAGCCTGTGTGCCATTTCATTCGTACAGCTAAAGAGCAAATGGTTCAAGCTCTTGATCTTCTGCAAGTCGCCCTTCAACTTGTCAGGCTTGTACATGTACGTTCGCACGAGAGTGCGCTGTGTGCATTTATGGCTGACTGAGTAATTAAAGAACCTCGGCGTGCATGCATGCTGCAGACTTTTTCGGCTAACAATTAGGCCACTTGAGAACACTATTTATGAGTGCTGGAATGGTTTTAAGCATCAGTTTAAAGTAACGGTACTCCACATAATGGCCAAAGCTTTAGCAGTGGGGATGACTTAATTGTAATTGTAATAGGTGGTATTTACGGGACACAAAGTACAAAATCCAAAGAAAATATTATTATAAAAAAACAAAATTGACCAGAAATGAAATTATGGTACGTGTAATTTTAACTTGATAATTATAAAATGTCATCAATGTTTTATGCTACTAATTAGCAGCAGATCCTTATTTTCTCTAGTCTGGGCCCAATTTCATGCGCTGCTTAACAGCCGACTTTGTGCTTACCGAGCCTCCATCTATTTCATAGGGACCGGTAAGCAGTAAGCACAGCAAAAGTACGCTTAACCCCAGAAGAAAACTTTGCTTAAATCAGTGACGTAACAATAGAAATCTCCATGCGCGCGCAACCGTTAGCATGAAATAGTGCTGAAGCAGCAGCATGATTTTCTGCTATAATAAGCACAACTTTTCTGCTTACTGTTAAGCAGTGCTATGAAATTGGGTCCCGAGGATTAGACGTTCACATACTGTGCAGAGCCGCACTATGAACGTGCATGTAATGTTATAATGCAACCCCTGCCAGCCCATCAGAGCTGCCTTTAGAAGTTGTGATCTCATTTAGATAATAGAGCAGAAATTCAGCAAAAGCTGTTGATTGGTCAATAGCTGCCATGTTTATGTTTTGTCATACAGCATCGGGTTACCGATGACACGATAGAAGGCGTCCGCTGAAAGGTCAGAATCTGAAGGTCAAGACGCAGTGCTGTTTTGCATTTTTATAATCTACACGCATATCACAGATGCTTGCCGTGCAAGCATCTATTCCATAGATACATTTTTCTCTCATTTCCCTGCATTTTTATCAACCTGGATCCGCCACTGCTCACTTAAAATATCACTTAGACGTCCTGCACTCTCTGAGAGTGATTGAGATGTGTGTATTCTCATTCTTAGTGAAAGCTTCTCTGAGCCTGTGGATCACCGTGACCTCTTTTAGCACTCCACTCCAGTCCAGAGGCATTGATTTCTCTGACCAGCCTGACTAGGCTCCATCCACAGTATCAGGTGAATCATCTTAAGACATCAACAAGCTCCTCCAAAGTCTGACCAGCAACTTGTCATCTGATATCTACGCTCCGAAGTCATACACCCCCCCCCCCCCCTCCATCCTGGACGCTAAGCCCCGCAACTGTATCTGGCAGATTCGCTTGATCTTGTTTGCCTTTGCCAAAACAGCGGGTGAAAGTTATTTGTAAAAGATTCATGGCGTATTCACCATTCAGACAGGATTCGGAAAATCGTTAATGGTGGAACGAAGTGATTTGATGAATAAATTTGGCATAAGAAATTTCAGAACGTCCCCAGATGTCAGGTGTTGGCCTAAATTATCCTACTTCTAGAATGTATATTAATAGGAAATCAGCGTGTATTAATAGCCAGCTTAGCACTAAACCAGCCATAAGCCGTCCTAATCCAAACGGAGGTTTAGAGGATTCTGCTGGATTGAGGAAGATAGATCCCGGTCACTATCAGGTTTAATTCCTTGATAATACAAAGAAAGCATCATTTAGGTTTTCTGCACAGTAGTGTTCGGTGGTTCCAGAATTTCTGAAGCCAGTTCCGATTCCATAACAAGAACCGGTTCCTAGTCGGAGCCGGTTCCTAGTCGGAACCGGCTCCCGGGAAATTCAATGAGAAACGTAAACCCTCGAAATTGCATGTCAAACGTAAACTGTGTCACCTTGTGAAGTTCATGCTCCGTGGTGCCTCAATCATATGGTATTGTCGACGTGCAATTTACATGTTATTCCATTACATATTTGGTTTCAAATGTGTGACTTTTCCCAGTGAAACTATGGAGATTTTTGTCATAAAAAGCAAACTGAGGATTTGTTTATTCACTGCGACGACCGTCGACGTGTGGATTCACATACACGGCTATACCGGTACTTTCCAGCCTACAAATACATGTATGTAAAATGCACACAACTGTGCATGTATATGTATGTACACACCGCGCACAATGCTTGTCCCTAAAGCAAGCACATTGCGCACGCACATTGCGCACCTGCCCTGCTGACAGGGCAAGCTCAGCTCCTACAACATGTATGTGATGAGCCGGCTGTGGGTGCTGCAATCAGCTCTGATTGACCCAGGTATCAGCCTGTGAAGGAGTCACGGATCTACCGGGCTCTAAACATGAATAAATCCTGGGCACTTTGGTTCTGAATGTAATCCTTGATGGCAACATGATACACTGCAAACTTTGCAGACCGGCAAAATGTATACTTTAAACAAGGTCAAAAGTTGTACAAAAGTATACGGCGGACTGCTATTTCCACTCAAGTTCAACCATCCCGAGTGTACAGGGCCACCGTAGGGGTTAACAAACGGTCTATGGCTCTATGCCTCGTGGCCAGTAAGGGCTTGGCTGAGCAGTCTGTCTCAGTGTCTGAGTCTTAGTGGTTTTCCCCTCCAATGTTTTGACTTGCCGCAGTGACTGATCCCCAGGACTTATTTATCATGGAGCCGGTTCCGGGTTTTTTGCATGGCAAATGGGAAATTCATTCTGGAACCAGTTCTTTTAGAGCCGGAAACGAGCATAGAGGGTACCTGGTTCTGGTTCTCAAGTTGGACTTGGGCAAAACCGGGTCCCCGCCGGAATTGCCCAAAAATTACTGTACAGTGGGGCAATTCCACGGAATTATAAACCTCAATGCCAAAACTTCAACAAAAAATCCAAATGCCACAAGCAAAACATGCATATCATTTTGAAGCTTATTTGTTGTATGTTACTGAAATATAGTTTATTTCTAACAATGTTCAAGAGTTCGGCAGTTACTTTTAACTGAAAAAATTCTTTAAAATATGTGTGGTAGATAGTTTCATCAAAGACTACAGATATCAATAAATTATAAAATTGAAAAGAAAAAAATCACCCCAAATCATTTGGGTTTTTTTTGCATTTTTCTCCACTATGGCCTGTGTCCAGTTCTCTTTTTGCCAGAATGTCTCATATTAAGATGACTTTTCAGGCGCAAATGTAAAGTATTTACTGGCTGTACTTGAAGTCACTTCAAACAGTTGTTTAAATTCCCTTATCCAGTACTCTTCAGGCAACTGTACTCACATTAAAGTGGATTTTTGTTTGTTTGCTTATTCGCTTGGTTTTTTTTGGATTGTTTGTTAGGGAATGTTTGTTTGTTTGTTAGGGTTGTTTGTTGTTGTTGTTTTTTGGTACTAATGTTTGATATCTGTTTTCTCCAAATCAACATCAGGCTGCAATTAAAGAACAGCCAAAATGCATGCCATGCTTGCTCGATAAAATGACAGATCTGACTGCCTCTGTTAACCAACAAATCCAACGGGTCACACAATATTGCTCAGATTTATGTTACTTTTCTTGGCAGGAAAATCAATTCCTTAGCTATAGATTGACTGATCATCCAGCAACCCAACTTGTAAAATTAGTAACACATTGACATTGAAGCACTCGAAGTAGCTCCGTCTTTAATTTGGGAAGGCACTTGAGTTCTTTTTTAACAGCTTGCTTGTAACGAAAGTATGACAGAGAGGCATAGAGGAGTGTAAGTCTAGCACCCAAATGCTAATTGTCTCGGGTATCGTACCTTTCAAGTTCATCTTCTTCATCACCACTCACATTATTACAGGAGTCGGGTTTCGACGGATCGGATGCTTCAGCCATGGTCACTTTACACACAGTGTCACCTGCTGCAAGGCTGGAGAGGTCTTCAGGAACAGTCAGATCTGTCCAGGCAAAAAGAAGGTAAGTTAAGTTTCGCAGAGAAGAGAGGGAGTTTTTTTTTTTTTACTAATTACCTGTGTGATACTTTTGCAGCTGCCGGATCATATTTGGTTACATTTACTGATGCTACATGACAAGCGCGTTCCATCCTGTATTGGAACAGACAGCTAATAAACTTCTGCCCCAAGCAGGTGTCGATTGCTAAGTGTTAACTAACGAAAGATTAGTAATACAAGCAACCGGCAACTCGACACGTACACATACACCGGCAAGGAAAAGCTCAATGTCCGCTTAGCAATAGCAAGAGGAAATATGAGATCTCAATCTCGTTAAAATTTTTTTACTAAGCTAAAACGTACATGTTAGTCAAGATGAACTTATGCTACCACTCTGATTTGAGGGGGGGGGGGGGGAATTCATGCTAAGTACAGGAAATTATGGACATTTCACACATGCGTTAGTCCATTGTCGGATCATTCCTGGAGAGGGGGGCAATGAAAAAAGGGGGGGGGGATAATTTTTTTAATTTTTTATTTAATTTTATGGAAATAAATTAAAATGTTACGTATCTCCCTCGCAAGCCATCAGCTACGGTACTTTATAATACACCTCTTGCTGTTCTTTATCCTGGTTGGCTGAAACACGGTCACGTGTGGTTAACTAATATAGGCTAGTGCATGAAATTTGCATCAGCATGAACTAGAAGTGTGTCAAGACATTGCGCTCGCGTAATTTCGTGAGTAAAGTGCGAAATACTCTAAGAGTAAGAGGGCACTGATCTAGACCAGTGGTAATAATTAGTGGTTTTTCGAACTGCTGATCATTATTAATCATACAAAGGCATCAATATAAGTCTAATTTAACTTACAAGTCTCATTTAGATTTAGTGTGCACATGAACTTACACCAGGAGAAGCTCAGTTAAAGATCAGTAAGAACAATGGAAGTTAAAACAATCACTGAAGACGGTTTTGCCCACTGGCACATGCACGCAAAATCCGGTTACTAGACCTAAAAAGTGAGCATACATATAATTTTTTTCATTGTAGAGCTTGTTATGCACTCTACTTACATGTTTTTTGTGATTTCTTGTTTGGTTTAATATTAAAGCAACTAAACGATTTTAAATCATGCAGATCAAAACCATTTGATCAGTTGATCCTTGTTCTTCCTGCCTGGCTATGCTGGCCTATGTCATTAATCATGTTAATTCGTCTGCTTCTGGCTGCCTTTTGCATAAAATACATAATTCAAATTTATCAGTGCTCGGCAAAATTAAGCCCCCCAAAAGCCAATATGAAATTCATCAGAAGCATGCATTATTCGTGAATAATGCGGTTGGTCTACTATATTCATATTATTTTTTGTAGGACTTGTGCATAGGGGCCGATTTTGACAAGCGGTTAGGGAGAATCAAATGCGTGTAATTTACTTCCAGAACTGTAAGGTTTTTTACAAAATTCTCGATTTTTTTCCGACCTCCAAACTCTCTTGTCACGAAATGTTTGACCTCAACATTTCACAAGTATTATCTTGATGTGGATTAGTACCTCTAGGGTGGGTTGAAATCCCTCAAATGTCAAACAAACCAGGGTCATCAGAGTCTTGCATTCGGCCGTCTGTCATCGTTTGCCATGAGGGCACTTTAATTCTCTTGACCAACTACAGCGTGGCTTTCATTCCAAGAGTGTCTCCGTGCCAATGTCCGTGCTTCACGCGATGAAATGAAAGCTACGCTGTGGTTGGTCAAGAGAATGAAAGCCCCCTCAGTCGACGGCAAACGATGACAGACGGCCGAATGCGAGACTCCAATGATCCTGGTGAATGAAATTCTGGTAAATTTCACATTTATGTTTGACATTTGAGGGATTTCAACCCACCCTAGAGGTACTAATCCACATCAAAAATAATACTTGTGAAATATTGAGGATAAACATTTCGTGACAGGAGAGTTTGGAGGTCGGAAAAAAATCGGAATTTTTTTTTCTACAGCACTTTCAATTGGTCTTTCTCAGTTTCTGTAAGGTTTGTAAAAAACCTTACAGTTCTGGAAGTATGTGTAATTACCGATTTACACTAGCGAAGTTGGACACCGAAAATAAACTGCAATCCCACGCTTTCGTTGAAAACATTTTCAGTATGAACTCCCCGTGTGAAGATTACACACGAGTGAATGCACACCTAGCACGCTGCCGCCACGGCATGCAGCAAGCGGCAGCAAACGGCACGCGCATGTACGTACGTCTTCACGCGGAGATTTGGTACTGAAAATGTTTTCAACGAAAGCGTAGAACTTGCAGTTTATTCATGTTATTTTCGGTAAACACGCCGCCCGCGGACATATTTGCCTTTTATCATGTTTATAAACCCAGCGCATGCACAATTCTGGACACAAAGAATATGTAAGCGAAATTTCAGCTTCCTCCGTCTGGTAAAAATATGAAAAAAAATGTTTTATAATTTTTTTCGCTATGGTGCCTGGTGGTACAATTTATACCCTGGACGTCAGTCGTCTTGGTCGTAATGCAATGAAGACGTCCAACCTACACGACTTGAATTTCAGTGACATACCTTCCAATTTTAGTTGATGCAATGAATAAAGCTTTCAACATTATATCATAGTTCAAGGTGTAACAATGATAAACTCATCGGACAATGAAATAAATGAGAATTCGGTATTTTCTTACCCCGAATATGCTAGTTTAGTTGCAGTTTAGTTGCAGACAGAGGCGGTAAATAATGTTTATGTATACCGCCCTCATTAGACTTGTTGGTAAATTCTGTACACTGGACTTCTGTGGTCACAAGAGGGGGTAGTAACGAGTTTGAAAATAACGTAAGCCCTGGAGACGCGGTAGTGATAGGCTTCTTAACTACAGCCCACCCTTTCTTTCTTTTTTCTCACAAAAGGCCACTTACTTTACAAAGTTCATGAGAGGAAACTTGTTTCACATTAGGCAATGGCAAATCGTTGTCTCGCAGGGTTAAAACAAAATCTTTTACATGGGGCCTGTATCTTCAAGTTCAAAACTGTAAGAGCATAATATATGGTATAGATCGATTGCATTTGGCAGCCATCTTGAGGTGTGATTTGTTGTGTTGATTCATTATCAATGAATGCACAAGAGATCTACGCATGCAAGCAAGCACGCACCTCAAAAATGACCGCAGTGCAAATCGTCTATAAGCACATCTTGTAAAATGGCCACCACAATTTAGCCTGTGTTAGTTTCATGTTTCAATTTAAATTTTAGAAAAAATAATAACAATAAATCATGATTTTAAATAGTCAAGCTTAGCGTTTGTCACTTCACTTGCCGGGTTCGGAAACTTTTCCCGCAAACAGGTTGTAATCCCCAACAACCCTGTCAATCACATTCATTGGGGATGAGTTGCACGGGTCACTCCCGCTGTCAGTTGTTGCGGTCCGGCACACCCTCGCCACCAAGATGCGATACCAAGTCCATCACCCAAGATCATATTAATCTAATAGCACGTAGCTATAGCCCTACCCAAACAAAATGATGACAGATTTGATTAGGTCGAATAATCCTCGTGACCACCGAGATTTCTGCCCTGATAAGACCATGGCGATTGATCAATTAAATTAAACAGTTGAAAACAATCCACAAGAAAGATCACCAACCACAAATCTTCACAGAAAGAAAAGGTAGAATCAAGTTCCCTTTAACACGTTTTCTTTCTTTTTTATCAATCCGAGGAATTCTGCATAATCTCAAAAAGTTACCATCTTCTTTACTTTGTAGTCCTTCCGACGATAATGCGTTGATGACCCACGATCCAGGAATACAAGGATTCGAAAACATTATCGTGTTCTGTGAATCAAGCCGACAAACCGTTACTGTAATCTTTATCTTGTTTAACTTGAATATGTAAACTCGAAATATGTTTAATCTGTAAGATAGACCTTGTATGCTTTATTGAACAAAAATCTAAGCCGGATATACGTCTGGACATAAATGTGATGATGACTCCTCGACTAAAATATGGGGGGGGGGAACTTGCGCTCACTTTTATATTAAACACTTTATGTAACACCATGTTTAACATTTGTAAAGAATGTATGCAAAATGTTTTCATTCAAACTCAGTCTGTCATGACTGTGGGAAAGTTATGCATGTGGCTGTACACGTACATCGATTCTTAATATTGACGTCCAACTTCACCAGACTGGAAAATCTGCTCAATGAATTTCCAGCAGTATGTACCCTGAGGTCGGGTTATGAATACAATTCACCATACTTAAAAAGTAAACACCAAAACGTACACGCGCGCTCAGCTTTTTTTTTTATTGGCAGTACAGTCAACAAAACTCCACCAACCAAAGTTACATCGCCCCCCTCAGAGGGCCAACATGAACCCCTTTTGTTGTGTGTTGCCATGGAGCGGGCATTGTGATGCCTCCATTCATCCGGAGTGAGGGTACAAAAGAGGCTCCCACAAAGGGGCAATTTGCCTTCACCCCTTGCAATTGCTTTACCACCATCCAGCGTGCAGTGGATTTGTTTAGCTCGCGCCAGATGATATTGGGATACTAATTTGATTGATTTTTTCGTCCCGGTTTACGTCGTAATATCTGTGCGGTCATCATTTTGGCCATCGTGCTGGACATCTAACACGACTGTCTCAACACAGTTGACCTTCTGCATTGGGAGCATTGGACGAAATTCCCCACAAGTGAAATATTGAACCATCTGTATCTTTTTATGATTCAAGAACGAGAAATAGCTGTCTGTTTATCGACCAGTTACTGTTCTTCTAAATTGTCTACGATTTATAATGATGACCAGAGGAATTGACTGTAAACTTTGCGAGGGGCACAGTATCTCAGATTGATGCCGTTGGAGTAACAAGCTCCATTCGGTTTATAAACCCGCGTGTCTACGCTTGAATATTGGGACATAATGACAGGCTGCTGCCGACTATGAGCCTATGTTCTGCTGGATTTTGTTCCCAACATTCTCTTCAAGCCCATCCGGAAAAGTAACTCCATTAATCAACTGATAATTGGCCGACAGAACATGGATACATGCAGCACACAGTTTATCAAATCCATGGAGATGAACTTTGGTGTTACAATCCCGTTGTGTTGTGTATGAATAATAACGCGGTTCTCAAGTAACGCTCGAGTGGTAAGTGCCGTGTAAAGTGGACTCTATAACGAGCGTTCGATGGCCACTTACCATGATGAAGATGATTCAACTTTAACCTGAGTTAAACTTTTTTGAAAATGGCTTACATGGACTCGGAATTTTTGTACGACCACGATGTAAAAACGTGTTTATGACTTCTCTACATCCAAGTGACACATGAGGTTGAATAACGGCAGTCGTAATTTAGATAATGGATGCGATTAAAATGTTATGGCGGTCATACTCGAAACCGGATTTCAGTGTGACGAAGGACACTGCTGGTCTAATTTAGGCAGCGTGATATCGTTAAACTATCTCGTGAAATAACGGATGGGGACGGAATTTCATCTTTCGAGCGAACATGGGTTCCCGTAGCGAGAAGAAACAACCAGGAGCGCTGGTCGGTGAGAAATCACAGACCGTCTTCTCGGCTAACTGGAAACTGGACGCCATGTTGCTGAAGAACCTCCAAATGCTGGATGTCTCCAAGCACAGAGTCGGCCACCGGATCTCCATGGACCAGAGGGTGGTCAACAAGCGATTCCAGACCAAGCTCTACCGGTCCAAGATCACCCACGCCCGCATGACCAATAACAGGGACCTGCTGAGAGAGCTGATTCACCGAGACAACTACACATTCAATACCAGCGTGGGAGGTCAGGACGATCAGTACACGGTCACGATCAGCCCCACGCAGAAAAGCCCCGTCGACCAAGAGGAGAGCACGGCACACGAAACTCTGAAGTACGGGAAAGGGAAGGGAGTGAGGCCTGCTGCAACTTCTATCGTAGTTGTTGAACCGAATGCTGATGGGACACACGGTACTGCGGCAGTTCGCGAGGCAGACACTACCTCTGTGCCAGGGAATAAGAGACCGTCAAGTTCGGCATCTCTCGCACGCAAGACTGTTACCAGGAGATCGTCGCCAGTGGCTGATATGCCTCACAAGCAGGACTCACAGCTTACGTTGCAAGAAAGTACAGGACCAAAATCAGAGCAAACACAATCGGACGACCAGATTGCAGACTCACAACGTGGTAATAAAACTCGGCAGAGAGTGATCCTGGATGACAGGAGAAAGCTGAGGCCCAACACGGCATATCCCAGTTCGTCCAAAGCAACGCGTGTCGCCCAAACCATCAGGCCCAAGACGGCTCTGGCGAGACAAGACAGCCGTTTACGTGCGGCTTCGTCACAAGACGTTCAAACTTCTTCCTCGTCATCGTCTCTAACGCCTGCTGCCGCTAAGAGACCCACCACGGCAACTCAGCGACCCACCTCTGCAACCCCGAGACGGCGAACCCCCTCGAGCAGGCAACAGAAACACACCATGCCGAGCATCTTCGGCGAGGACAAGCGACCGACTCTGCTGGACATCAACCAAGATCGTCTGGCCAGAGCCAACTTTCCCGACCGGGTCAAACACTTTTCGACCTCTCTCCAGGGTCTACAGACAGACCCGGACCAGACCGTGGATTATTACACCCATCGGTTGCTGGAGAACTTGCGGGGAGGGAGGGGCCCCCGGCAGTTCATCGAGAGTGACGCGGAGAAGAGAGACGCTCAGCGAAGCATCGGGAACCTAAACGCTGTCAATATGACATTTGGTAACATCAAGAAGATCGAGTCGGGGGACAATCGTGTCAGGCGAAGTGACGATTCGCCGGTTAAGGCGCGATTGAGAGCCTGGGGATCTGACGACGATGACTCTGACAACTTGGACGACGATGACAATTCGTGAAGCTGGGATTTAGTTGACTAACCAAAGCATTATGCACTATCGAAACATGTTGATTGGCTCATAAATTGGAAATGGATATTTTTGATAAATGTTCTATAATTATGTTGTTCCTTTGCGATTTTAAACAATTATTACCGTTGTATGCGAATCCGTATACCAGTTCAACACGGTGTGGCGTTATGGAAGTACTCATTCAAAAATAGAGTTATTCCCTCAACTTTTTGGAAAGTGCAATTTTAAGAGAAAAACCGACTAAGCATCATTCTAAGCTAACTTATCCCGATCTCAACTCGTATCGAATATCTGTCCCCACTTGACCAATTCATCATCTATTTTTGTTCACTCGTTGTGTAAGTTCCAATGAATGATTACGAAATGACAAAAGACATTGTTGTTGTTGTTTTTTCATGATGGAAATTTCCGATGAATAATAAGCAAAAAAATAGCCATTTTATTTTGTTTCTTACAAACACTCAGCACAAAATGGAACAAATGCTAGAGAGAGGAAATCCAACTTAATCCTCGGCTGAACCACAAGAGACTTCCCTTTGCTCTAAGATAAACCGACTCTAAATCCCTCCATAAGTCTTGAAGTTGATCCCCTTTCAAGGCGAACCGCACACGATTTAAAATCTTGGATTAATGTAATCCGCGGATTAGACTTATTTGGGAGAAATAGTAGGATCTAGTTACATGTCGTTGATGCGCTCTGTTATTTTGAAGAGCGCACGCATAAATTGAGAATTCACCAGTGTGAATTATGTATATATACATTTTGTATTTGCTGTTTATGGAGCTGTTTTCCTTGCAAGATGAGACAATCAGCATGTGTAATTCTTCGTATAACTTTGAAGCATTCAAAATGCATTTTCTAATGCTTGGCTGAAAGCTGATTAAACATCAGCTGTTTAGTCTATACACAGCATTAACATTTTGACTCACTGAGAATTGAATGTTATGACATTCCAAAGCAGAATAAAAGAAGCACATTACATGTATTTTACAATTTGTGGAGATACAAAATTTTATATAAGCGCAAAACAATAACATTCATTATTTTGTTCAAAAGAACAGGGAAAGCATTATCATTTAAACGATTTTTTTTGGATAAAATATATATCAAAGATGGCAAAGTTTTTTGGGGTCATGTTTCCAGCAAAGTGTTAATTAGTCCTTTTTAAAATTTAACATGAGAACTGATGGACTATAGTAAAGAAGGTACAATGTACCAGAATAGTCTCACTTGCAATGCACTTGATAAGAACAACTCAATACGGAATCATCTTTTATTTGACAAATCGAATGGATATTTGTGATATTTGACGTGCCCTTTCGAATTCCAATTAAAAAAAAACATGTTTGTGGCGGTTCTTTAGTACTGTTTGTTCTGAATTTACTGCGTACTTGCTTCTTAATTGTCAGGAATATCCGTATTCAGTTTTGGTTGAACTATCTAAATTATGTTGTTGTGGCATATGAGGTTTATAACTGCATATACATGTATTTATTTGTAAGGATTTTAACTCGGCAAAAAAGAGATAGTTTTGTCCTTTGTACATGTAGCTAATTGCCGTCTCACGGCAATGCATGTTTGTTTTTTTGCAAAAATGCTCTCTCAATACAGTTGTTAAATTATGAACTACCTTCCTAGAAAGTAGACTCCAGATGCCTCGTTTATTTTGCAAACATGATCTATTTTTAACTTTGCAAAGCTGTTTTTTCCCCCACGGTTACGTGCTTTCCCCTGTAGATAAAAGAATATCAATATGGATTTTTGTAGGGGCCTTAAATATTTTTTAAACAGAGTAGATTATATTACTTTTATATTTCTCTTATATGCTAGCATATTGATTGTGTGGCAATGCTTCAAAATTGTTTTGAAATATCTTAGACAAAAAGAGATAATCTTATATTTTCATGTACCTTTTCAATTTGCTGCGTGTGTGCTCAGAATAAAACATACTCTGAAACTGTTATTTGTGACAAAATTAATAACCCAATTGCTTCGAAACTTGTTGACGGGGATGGTGCATAATGTCTTTTGCACTCAAGGAGAGATGCAAGTAAATCTCAGTCATCATTTTTATCCCTTTTATTTTGTTATTCGTTAAAAAAAATATTCCATGAATAGTCTTCAGCTATTTTGAGAATCATTTGGGCCTAAAGGAATCATGACCGAAAATCGCATGATTTACAAACAGAATTGAGTAGGTTTAGCAATAGGCAATTTTTACTGATGGTTTTCAGTTACATGGTTAGGAAATCTATATCGGATTGACTAAGAAAAAAATATCGCATCGCGCATTTCCAAACATCAACAGCTCTTAATCCATATCAGTGGAGGATGTAAAACTGCTACTGTCGATTTCAATATTTTGGAGTGCTGCAATTGTTTTCCATATGTGGTGATTTTGGGTGAAGGAATACTTTATCAAAATTGCTAATTTTCGGGTTGGGTTTCAGCATAAAACTCAACACATGTACATCCCAGGAATGGCCATTCTAAATCTCTTAATTGAGGTTCCACAACAACAAAAACATGTTGTCAGGGCTTGCCTGCCGAATGTAATTATCAGTTAATTAAATATTATAATTAAGCAAAACAACTAGTCCTACGCGTGGCAAGATCGGGTCATTGAACCACCCTCTCATCGGACTGAAAACCTTCCGATCAAATTACTTGCTCAGAATCGATCGGAGAAATATGCTCCGGAAGTTGCTCGGAGTTTTTTTTTCTCAAATATGTTTGCTTGAATGCCGTGAAATATATTAAGCATTTCTGGCTTGATATTACAAAATGAGTCTCTTGATTGCTATGTACAGTGGATCAGAAAATTACAGTCCCAGAAATCCACCAATATCACACGTTATACTGCTTACATAATCTGGAAGATTCATAATTACTGAAAGTTTTTGTCCGTTTTCGTTTTGTTCATGTCATTTTAGGTGAGTTAAACTCGAGTGCGAGTGATTGTGGAGACTCGGTGATCTTTGTAGACTTTTTCCTGAATTTAATGTGCATGTAGTTCTTTCAATCAGCTTTGCATATCCCGCGTTCTTGCCTGGCCATGAATGGTGAAAAAATACTTTGCATAATGGTTTACCTGTCTCCGAGTTGAATCAATACACTTTCGCTCTTAAAAAACGTCTTGTTGGTCTTCAATCGAAGAGGAACATCAAACATTTCAGTAACTTCACAAACAAGTGAAAGAACGGGCGCATTACCGGTATCTTCTGGGCGCCGCGTCCCTCGGCAGGAACTTTTTTGAGGCTTCCAATATTTGAGAAGAAAGGAACTTAGTAAACATTGTGACTGTTGGACTTAGTTCAGTTAAGTAAAGAACAAAATGCGCCATGTCCGTTATGTTTGCCGACTTCCACTTTCTTTACATGGTTGCTAATTGCTTGTCCCAATATAACTGTGTAACCTCGGCACAGGGGCCACAGGGGAAAACAGTTCATAGTTTAGTTGTGCAAATTGTACCTTTCACAAACGCAGTGTGCACTATGAAAGCATTGAGAGCCCCCCTCCCCCGACTCCTGATTCAGGAGTGTGGCCCACCGTGTGGTCCCACTATAAAGAGGTAACTGAGGGTAAAAACTAGGTCTCCAAAGCCCCCCCCCCCCCACGCATCTTGCGAGAAAAATATATGCCAAGTCTTTAGAACTCGACATCATTTCTTTATTCTGCCAATCCACAAATAAACCTTACCTTTGCGAAAGAATAACCAAAATTGATTTGTATGCCTATGGTTGTTTTAGAATGGCCGGGCAGCAGAAGTTTAATTCAAGTTCTATTTTTAAGGGCAGACATTGAAAAATTCCAAAGTTGCAATGTTTATTGGGGAAGGGTCAACGATGTTTTGAAGAATTGCCAACTAGCTAACTTAGCTAAGTTAGCAGCTGACCTTCAATTGTGATCCCAATCTTTACTAGTATGAACAAAATAGCCTGCAGGTTAAATTTATCAGTACATTTGTTACATTTGTATTGTGTGTATTCGACTAAAGTCCACTAAATGTTTCTCGAAGCCAAACTGGATACGAAACCGTGGTTTCGAAAACCCTATGCTCGACAGAAACCTATTGAGGGCGCACTTTGTTCAGCTTGCTATTGATGAACTCGGAATCGGTTTAGATATTTCCTTCAAAGTTTCATCAAAAGACTGCTGATTTCCTGTGCAAGGGTAACTCTGAAGCTTTAGGAACCTGAAATATTCGAGGTGAGAGATTTTGAAGAATATATACAATAATATAGGCCTATCAATTTGTTTCTGCTCTTAAAGAAATGTTGTTTCTTGTATCAAAATTTCAAATGCAGTTTCATCACAATTCATGCAAAACAATCAAACGTGTCACTGTCAAACAGAATAGCATCAGCATCATTTTTACAATCAAATTCAAAAGCAGACTTCCCCAATTCTAATGACACCCGTTTTGCAATTTTGAACAGTTTCTTGGGGTAGAAATCACGATTTTCCTGCGCGGTTTGTGCCTTGCGATTCAGCGCGCCGTGCGTTCTCACGCCTCACGGTAGCTGGAGTTACCCAGCCCTGAGTTTTATCATTGGGTTGTCATCTAGGGCTGGAGCGCATTTTTCTCAAAACTTGTAGTATTTGCAAAAAAAATTTGGAAAATGTTCAATTTTGTCCCCGTTACACACTAATTGCAACTGCAACTCACCCCAAACTTGCCTGGAATAACCATTACACAGGTCCTTGAAGTAAAACACGATCCACGATGAAGATTCAGCCTACAATTGCAGTGAAAACAGGAGTAATAACCGCTAACTTGACAACCTTGCTGGATTGGCCAGGACCGCTATTGGTTTGTGCACAAAAAAAATTGTGTACAATGAATGGCGGTCGATTAACAGGCACAGAGAGCGATCGCTGTCAACTACTCGGTTTTGCCGGCTGCGCTGGCTGTTGGCGCATGACGTCACGCGGAAGCGTAACACCCGATGACTGTTTCATGCACTATTGGTTGCGGTTCCAGTACCAAAGCTGTGATGCGACTGGTAAAGCTTATACTAGTGCATGAAACAGTCATCGGGTCATACGCTTCCGCGTGACGTCATGCGCCAACAGCCAGCGCAGCCGGCAAAAACGAGTAGTTGACAGCGATCGATCTCTCTGTGCCTGTTAATCGACCGCCATTCATTGTACACAATTTTTTTTGTGCACAAACCAATAGCGGTCCTGGCCAATCCAGCAAGGTTGTCAAGTTAGCGGTTATTCCTCCTGTTTTCACTGCAATTGTAGGCTGAATCTTCATCGTGGATCGTGTTTTACTTCAAGGACCTGTGTAATGGTTATTCCAGGCAAGTTTGGGGTGAGTTGCAGTTGCAATTAGTGTGTAACGGGGACAAAATTGAACATTTTCCAATTTTTTTTTGCAAATACTACAAGTTTTGAGAAAAATGCGCTCCAGCCCTAGATGACAACCCAATGATAAAACTCAGGGCTGGGTAACTCCAGCTAGTCTCACGGTACATTGTGCGGTGATCGGCGTCTTTATTTTCGGGTTGGCGTATTGTCGCTGCACTATCATCGTCATTTTACCCCCAAATTTCCCTCAAAAATTCCAAACCCTGCCCTCTATCTATGACATACCTGTTTACTGAGAATGTCGCCAACTAGTTTGGTCGGTCTAAAAAAATTTAAAGTGGATTTTGTTCCCTTATTATAGGAACCGGACCCTACACTACATGATCGCCGATAAATGTCACAATATCCAGCTAGTAAACTTGAACTCTAGTTCTTGGGCCTTGTAATATTGAACATTCATTATGGCTCAATTTATTCATAGTAGATGAACTGACATTTTGTAGGCCTAGCTGGAGTTACCTCAGCCCTATATTTTATCGTTGGGTTGTCATATAGGGCTGGAGGAAATCGTCAACATGGACTAGCACTTTTAGCAGTGATGAAAATTGAATTCGAAAATGTGCCTTTTTTTCCCCCTAACACACAAAATTCCACCTGGGACTCACCCAAACCTTGCCGGGCATAATCACTACACAGTTTCTTGAAGGAAATAACGATTCACGATGAAGATTCAGCCTACAATTGCAGTGAAAAAAAGGAGGCATTAGCAACAGCAGATCAAGTTAACATCGCCGGCCAGAGCTGACGTTGACGATTACCATGCACAGCACACGCACCAGTCGCACTTGCCAACTGCATGGCGCGGCGCGGCATGGCGCTGAAATGCACACTCGACGATTGTTTGATGCACTACTGCTGCACTAACTATGAGGCTTCACTCGTATCACGGCTGAGGTAGAACGGCAGCCGACGTTGGCCGACAAACAGTCGTCGGGTGTACGCTCCAACGCCATGCCGCACCGCGCCGTGCAGTTGGCAAGTGTGACTGGTGCTTGCACTGTGCATGGTAATTGACCGCGCATTGCCGTTCCTTTGCACACAAGTTTAGTTTGTGCACAAATCAACGCTAAATCGATCTGCTGTCGGTAATGCCTCCTTTTTTTCACTGCAATTGTAGGCTGAATCTTCATTGCGGATTGTTATTTTCTTCAAGGACCTGTGTAGTGGTTATGCCAGGCAAGGTTTGGGTGAGCCTTAGGTGGAATAAGTGTGTTACGGGGACAAAATGGCACATTTTCGAATTCAATTTTCATAACTGCTAGTCTATGTTGACAATTTCCTCCAGCCCTATATGACAACCTAACGATAAAATATTGGGCTGAGATAACTCCAGCTAGGCCTGCATTCACTACTATCATTTGAACAACAAGATTGAAAAGATTTTTGATTCGGTTTGAACAGTGTTTGAGTGTGTGATTGGTAGTCATTGACAAAAATAAATGAGAGCTGCTGTGTCCAAACGAATTGCAAATAAACTAGCATTGTTTAATTAAACATAAAACTAAGGTAGAATATGGTTACTAATTGAGAAAATAAAGTCTTTGTCAGTACTTCAAGACCAACGGGTTGTTTGCATAGTTCAGTTCTCGCCCCTGGGTGTTGAACATGTAGACTAGTCATGCTAGTGCCACATTTACATTAACTTCTTATTTTGACTTTGCAGGTAGAAATCTCAAGTTGAAGATGGAAAACATGGAACCTGAAGCCACTAAAGAGCACGATGTGATGGCCAAGTCTGATACAACATCCGACTCTAATGATATAGAAGATGCCACACCTGATCAACCATCTAACCCTAATGATATAGAAAGTGCCACGCCTGATAAAACATCTGACTCTAATGATATAGATGATGCTACGCCTGACAAAATATCTGACTCTAATGATATAGATGATGCCACACTTGATAAAACATCCGACCCTAATGATATAGATGATGCCACGCCTGATAAAACATCTGACTGTAAGGATATAGATGATGCCATGCCTGATCAACCATCTGACCCTAATGATGTAGATGAAGCCACGCTTGATAAAACATCCGACCCTGATGATATATATGAAGCCATGCCTGATAAAACATTTGACCCCAATGATATAGATAAAGCTACGCCTGACAAAATATCTGACTCTGATGATATAGATGATGCCACGCCTGATAAAACATCCGACCTTAATGATATAGATGATGCCACACCTGCTAAAACATCCGACCCTAATGATATAGATGATGCCATGCATGATAAAACATCCGACCCTAATGATATAGATGATGCCACGCCTGATAAAACATCCGACTCTAATGATATAGATGATACCACGCCTGATAAAACATTCGACCCTAATGATATAGATGCTGCCACGCCTGATAAAACATTCGACCCTAATGATATAGATGCTGCCACGCCTTATAAAACATCCGACCCTAATGATATAGATGAAGCCACTCTGATCAAGATTAAATACTACAGCCTCACCAATGACCACACCTATGGAAAACTCTACATTTGTCACACATGCGGCATGAGTTTCTCAAAGGCAAACCACCTGAAGTCACATCAAAAGGGACATGACCAATCAAAAGCCTTTGGCTGTTACTCCTGCGGCAAAATGTTTCAGAAAGCACACAACCTAGCCAACCATTGTAAGACCCACAATGATAACGTTAAGTTCCAGTATGTGTGTGCATTTTGTGGCAAGAGGTTTTCAAGCAAAGTGCGGCTTGAGAAGCACCTGAAGTTGATTCATCGCAAAAGCCTGCAGCTTAACGCCAAGTACAACCCCAAACCGAAGAAGAAGAGAAGAAAGAGGAGAAAGAAGAAGCTCCCTCGGGTCCAGGAGGAGGCCCAGGAGGAGGTCCGGGAGGAGGTCCAATCCAAGAAGAAGTCATTTGTTTGCAAACTTTGCGACGATGTCTTCAAATCACAGAGATCTCTGAGTGCTCACCATCAGTCAGTCCACAAAAATCAGAGAACATTTATTTGTAGCGTTTGTGACAAAGCTTTCTCCTGCACAAAAACACTAAGAACACATCAGTTAATCCACCCGCAGTTTTCGTGCGATACTTGTAACGAAGCATTCCTGGATGCTGACGCACTCGGCGCCCACCAAGCGACAGCGCATTATAAAGAGAAGCCGTTTCCGTGCGGTGTTTGCGGCAAGTTGTTCTCGCAGGAGAGCACTCTGAAGACCCATCACATGTGGGTCCACAACAACGGCCGACCGGAACAGCCACTGGAGTGCAACATTTGCGGGAAATCCTTCGTGCACGGAAGCAAGCTACGAACACACCTCAGGGCTCACAGGGCAGTCAGGAAACTTGTATGCGAGATCTGCGGCAAAGCTTTCTGCTATGAAAGTTCACTGAATGTGCATCGCAGGATCCACACCAAGGAAAAGCCATTCACTTGCAACATTTGCGGCAGAGGCTTCACGCAAGCAGGCACTGTGAAGGAACATATGCGGACCCACACAAAAGAAAAACCCTTCCTTTGTGACTTTTGCGGCAAAGCCTACACCCAGAGAAACAGTCTGACCGCCCATAAAAAGATCCACAAGAAAGAGAAACTCTTGGACACATTTTTGGGAGAACCATTTGAAATGGAAGAAGTCTGACTTACAATTAGCCTGACCGAATTTTGAGTCATGACTTAATAATGTAATCCATTTGGAGTAAAATGTTACATATGTAATTACAGTTCTGTTGATTATCAAGTAAAATTGTGGAAAACACAGCAGCTGTGTAGTCTATGGTCTATAATATTTGAGCAGATTCGCTGATTAATAATGCAAGACAACCACATCTTGACCTCTAGATTTTGACCAGTCAGCAGGTGCTTTCTATATCGGGTCTTCGGTCATTCACCCGTTGCGCGTCATAGACATGGATAAATAAAAACCTGTGTCACATGCTCTGTATCATGTTACGTGATATGCGCCCGGCTGTTGTTGTTTTTAAAAACACTACATTCGAATTGACCAATCAAACCATTAGCTTAGTCCTGATTTGAGAATGAAATGACGTCACAATTTAGTAAAGTCGACTCTGATTGGCTTGCACGCAACTTACATATCTGCATGTTTAGACATATCAGACGTTATACAGGAGACCTAGCTCTGTGGATAACGGGTGATACTCAGACTACCACCTGTGCTGCTCAGAAGTCAAAAACCTATTGCAACACAATTCAATATTTTTAGTGTGTACATTAGCACAGATTTTCAGCTTGTTACATCATTTTGTAATGTTTTTGGCATTTAGATCTCTTATCCTGCGTATATTTGGTTGCAACACCCATCGTCCAGTTTCAGAAAAGATAACTTTCAAATGTCGACATTATTTCTTTCTTAATAATTATTAAGGAACTCTTGTTTCAGTCCTTCATTGGCTGTTTTGAGGATGGATTTTCATGGAGAATGTTCACATGTATGTGAAATGAACTTGTTAATTCACATGCTTCACAATTCACTTGAAAGAATTGAATACAATGAAGTTGTATTATACAACTACAAGGTTGTTCAATTTATTTCTTAGTATCAATTTATTATTTTAACTTTTTGAAGTTTGTGTTTGCCAGGAATTGACATCACCTGCATATAGAGCTTTAAAGGGTTCGTGCAGTGAATTTTTGTTAGGAATACGTTTTGTGCAACTTTCTACTCTTAATTAAATGTATGAAAAGTATGTAGCATCCCTTTTTGGTTAATTTCATTAAAAAGAACATTTTTTTTACATTTAAGAATACCCACGTTTTTCTTGACAACTGAGGGCACTGCCAGGAAGACACATTTCAGTTCAGGTGTTGCTGTTCAAATTGTGAACCCCAAATTCGCTTTATGAAATCTTGCGAGAAAGGCTTGCATGGGCCCTTTAAAGATTATTATAATTTCAAAATCAGATGGCTTTGTTTTTGTATATATGTGTTCCTCTGAAGCTGAAGCCATGCACTGTAAACAAATGTGGGTGTATGTGGAGATAAAAGTGTGTCTTAAAAGGAAAACCTCGGACGAAGCTTCACTAATGATTAAATTATTGTCCACACTGATCATTTTTTGGTAACAAAATGTGAATAACACATGCTATCACCTCAGAGTTGTCTATTTGTGTGTTTATTTGCCACGATAACCTTTGATTATCTTAAGTTATAACCTTTTAATATAAATGTTCCACTTAAAAAAGATTATGACAAACTTCTTGTCGGCCCCACCAAGTACTGCACAGGTTTTCATTAGCATTTTACATGAAACTTCAACTGACTTGGATTCAAAAACATTGGTTAATTGAACAGGGAAATTGACTGGAGCTGGACAAGGGCGGATCGGGGGGGGGGGGGGGCATGTTTGTTTTTCTATTTTTAAGTGATGCAATAAAGGCATTGTTTCCTCAAAAATATTTGTTTATAAAAGTGGTTGGACATTGCCTCAGATCACACCACAGAACATCTAAAATCCAAACATATTTGGGGCGCTACACCAATCCCATGTCGTAATTTTGTGGACCAACTTTTTGGGGGACCAACATTTTGTTTGCCCCCCCCCCCCCCCTAAAAAATATGTTCTGGATCCGCCCTTGGAGCTGGATTGCAACCTCCGCCCTCCTGACCCTAATATCTTTGTTCTAAATATGATGATTTAATGAGCACATTATCTTAATATCGTGATGATAAAGTTCTAAATAATTATGAGAATGCTGATCAATTCTAAATGCAAAAACCTATAAAAAATAAAATATAAAAAAGTAACAATTGTAATTTTCATTACAAAAACTTTGAAATCGTAGAGGGCGCTCTGACTTTTATAACATTTATTCGAGGGGATATGCCTCTGAAAGATGGCTTTAAATCGCTGGATATGGATTCCTTGCAGGGGGAAAACCTGTGCAAACAATGCGCCTCAAAGTTTTTGAACAAATGTTTCCAGTTACTTAGCGTACAAAGTTGTAGGGGGTGTTTGCAACTTTTATAGGGAAAGGAAACAAATCGAAGACGAGTCCTCCAGGATTGCCACACGCAGATATTTTGAATTTAAATGGGGGGGGGGGGGAAATAAAAACAATTTTGCTTTTTGTCTTTCTATATTTCCAGTGGCGAACCCCCCCCCCCCCCTGCGACCCACGCCCACCTCATTTGTAAAACTCAACCGATTGAGGGCGCCATTGTGCGGGCTGCGCGCGCATGTACAAAATTGTGACAAAAATGGTGGATAATTTTTTGTGCACACTTTCAGCTCGCAATGTTGAATTTGAGATGGAAATGAAGCTTTAGTATCTGTGAATTTTCGGAACCTAACCTGGAACTTCAAAAGAATGAAAGAAGTGAGAACTTTGGGTAAGGTTTATGGCTGTAATATAGTCTTGAAGAGGTATTTTTGTTGTTACATTTTTGTTTTTGGCAGACGGGCAGACGAAATGAGGTCTGAATTAGACTGGAGACCTAGACTGGCAATGCACATCAGTCATTGACATGCTTGTCACACATGCACACTTGTTTACAAAATTGATTGTTGTCATGAAGTACAAGCACCACTTTTTACATGGAAGCAGCAAACTTCTAACACTGTCTATACATTTGTGATAATATTTTTTTGCAATAGGCCTATCATGCCTATGTAGTAATGTTGTCAATAAAGGCGAATGTCAGTTCAATTGTCTTCTCTTATTTGTTTCCAAAAATTCCAACCAACCATGCCAGCAAAACTTGTCATGCTTATCGCTACATGTTTTGTTGCGTAGCGTTAGAAAGGGTTTCAAAATTGCCTGCTTGCCATTTTTTTTTTTTGAAAAGAAGTGTTGCAACCTGACGCCACTTCAGCGGTTGTGTATAAAAGTCTATGGAGAGTCAAGAAAATTGTCCTAAGCCTAAGGCCCAAAAAAAATCCTTCTGCTTCCGGTAACCCGACTGACCCTATTTTTAGGCTGCGACCCTAAAAATGTTATCGGCAATTCCAAAAAAAAAGATTGAATAAATAAAAATAAAAAACTGTTGTCTTTTCTGTCTTCACAAAATACCTCTCAACAACCCTTTTGCGTAAAAAAAATGCTTGTATTTATTTGTTTTGTACTTACATTAGCTTTTTTTTTTCAAAAGAAACCTCCGTTACACATGTTTGCGATACAACTACTTCGCAATTCGATGTCACGGTGACTATAATCACGTGCGTAAACCTAGCTCAACGCGGCGACGACTGGTTCCCGCCGTGCCGCGCAGGGGCCAATTTAGAAGACATGATGAAAATGCGGTAACCAGTCTGTCATGGCTATGCGATTGATAGCGCTAGCTTGGCTATGCATTGCAGGCACGTGCACTGTCAACTGGTCGGATTCGACATCGTAAACATGCCAAGGAAACACCGATGGAGAAAGAACATTATTGCAAGTTAATTCACAGAATTGATCTAGCTTGTCTGTGTATGTATTTTCCGTGTCCAAGAGTTCATTTTGAGATCGCACTACTGGTATTTGATGTGATACAATGCAGCATTTTTCCCGAAATTTTCAACCGTAAAACAAGGTTTTTGCACAGTGCATCACACACTTTGGAGTTTTGGCCAGCTTCCTGTCTTAACTAGCGTTGTACATATGATGCGAACGACCTGAATTTTCCATTATTTTTTAGGAATTATCGAACGTAATATATTGACAATAATTAAGGTTGGTTTTATTCACTTTGTGTGGCCATTTTGTGTATAGCTTTCGTAGTGCAATGGAAATAGTTCAGGCTAAAACTTCGCAATTGAATACCCCATTCAATCTGCACAAAAAAAAATGGCAAAGTTTTTTTTTTCGACCCACCGACCCTATTTTTGAAAGGCATGTAATCGGAAGCAGAAGTTTTTTTTTCGGCCTAACAAAATTGGAAATGTTTCTCAGTCCCAGATTCATGTCTTATCATTTTTGCAATGACTGACCTTCATCGAGATAATATATGAAGGAAAAAAGTGGTGTTACTGTTAGGTAGCAAAATTTTTTCCTTTCTTTGTGTCGGGAGAAATTAGAGATGTCATGACCCGGTTATCCGATTTCACTGTATGAATATATTCACATTAACGCAAAAAAAAAGTGACAACTGAGATACCACATGAGCTCCAAAGCTGTAATTGTGATAAAAAATGGATGGGATTTCTGTGATCAGTCAAATTTGCAGGCTGTCCAGAACCAAACATTTGTGGTCACAATCAGAGACCGTGGAGCAAATCAGAGACCGTGGAGCAAATTGGGGGATGTTCCAGCTGTTTTCTTTAGCTTGTGGCACAAATAATAAATGGAACTCATTGGAAGGCTTAACTTTTTTACCGAGTTCCACTAGTCCACGTGTATTTTTAGATTTTCAAAAGTGAGAGGTCAATTTTGCCACCTATTTCTTTTTTCACGACAGGTGATTTTTTACCCAAAATTAAGACTTCGTAACAATTTTACAAAGGCCTTTATTCGAGGGTGATTTTCTTAAGAAATCACTGTACCAAAAATAACTGCAAATTTTCGATTTTTTGGACATTAATTTTCCTATTAAAGGGTTCCAGAAGTGGGGGTGAACTTTCAGGCTCTATAGAATAATTCTCATTCCTGGATAACTTGGGTCAGTATTAGAAAAAAAAAAAACTTTTAGGTTGTGATGGTTTGGTCCTAACCAACGCGAGGAAATGACAGTTATTAAAATTTTCTTCAAAATGACAGCATACTGGACGAACTTATTTGAGTTGATACTTGATCCCATTATTTACTTACAATCAAGTAGAACATTCATTGTATATTTTGGTTTCAAATTTGGAATGTTTGCAAATTGTGCTAATTACCTATTTGTACTATTACCTGTTTGTCTTTTTGTTTTTCTCTCTAGGTCAGCGGTAGAGCTACTGGCCGGAAGCTTGAGGCATCATTTTAGCAGCAGACCCAGGTCACTTCCCCAGCCTGTACATGCTGGGTCTGTGTGGTCTGGGAGCTCTGGTGGTCAGAGGACTGAGAAGACTGAGAGGAGCTGGCTGCACCATCAATGATATGTGGGACAGGGACTTCAACTCATAGCAGTACGGTAAGTTCCAACATTGACAAGAAGTCATGTACTTCATTATGTTCGGTGGAATAGAATAGCTGGGTACTAACATCTTTACAGCTTCATGTTAGCAACTTCTCATGAGGTAAAAGACTCCATGCAGGAGCAGTAGGTAGTGCTGTGTCACTTAAGAGCTACATGTAGTAGATAGGATGGGGGGGGGGGGGGGTACGGCGACAAATCCCATTATTCCCCTCCCAAAATAGATCCCCCTCTCCCTCTCCCAAAATAGATCCCCCTCTCCCCCAATTACCCCCCTCTCCCCCAATAGATCCCCCTTCCCCAAAAATATATTTCCCCCTCTCCCCAAATATATATCCCTCTCTCCAAATATATATATCTCTCTCTCTCAGTCTCGGAATCAGACCAAAACCGGGGCCCAATATCTCTCGTATTGAAGATCTCTCTCTGTCCTGTGTCCAGGAACCAGATCAAAACCCTTGCTCTCCCCCACTTATAAACAGCGCCCTCTAAAAACTGTTCCTTTTGTGAATATTAACCAGCAACCATGGATAAACGTTCAGTCATAGAGATGGATAGCTAGACTGGCTCCCGCGGGGAGCCACTTGATTGTTTTATCCTAACGTCAATGCTTTGTGTAAGGTTGACTGATAAACGTTCAGTCATAGAGACGGATAGCTAGACTAGCTCCCGCGGGGAGTCACTTGATTGTTTTATCCTAACGTCAATGCTTTGTGTAAGGTTGACTGATAAACGTTCAGTCATAGAGATGGATAGCTAGACTGGCTCCCGCGGGGAGCCACTTGATTGTTTTATCCTAACGTCAATGCTTTGTGTAAGGTTGACTGATGTATTTGATGAAGCCACCAGACTGGATAAACGTTCAGTCATAGAGACAGATAGCTAGACTGGCTCCCGCGGGGAGCCACTTGATTGTTTTATCCTAACGTCAATGCTTTGTGTAAGGTTGACTGATAAACGTTCAGTCATAGAGATGGATAGCTAGACTGGCTCCCGCGGGGAGCCACTTGATTGTTTTATCCTAACGTCAATGCTTTGTGTAAGGTTGACTGATGTATTTGACAATGGCTGGTGGCCAGACTCATTTTTGTTGACATGGTTCCGTGAGAAAGTCAGATGCCTTTGTTCATCAGGTACAGATCAATGAAGCATAATAAATTGAAATTTTACGCTCTTTTGTTACACTCGTGGGAATTTTTAGATGCATATTGTCTGCTGGAATCAGTCAATACGAACTGTATAGTCTCTTTACACTTGTGCATAAAGAGGTAAATTGATTTAAAACTTTATTTAAAAAATAAATCATTTATAATAAATGAATCTTTTTCAGAGTGAACACCCTGAGCTATCTGATAAAACAGATCAATGCGATTACCATATAATCATCGAGAATGGATTCTTAATTCGTGAAACGTGCGGTGAAATAGTCTCACGTTACTTTGATTTTTCGGCAGAAAATGCTCAAGAAGATCGTATCAATTGGTCCATTTACATAGCCGCGTGTTTTCATCATGTAGTTCGATTAGACAAAGAACGAGTTAGAGATTTATTTAAAGTGACTCAAAATCAATTTAATAAAGCACTAAAAAGATACAATGACCACTACAATAAAGGCGGGGCCGAGGGTGACGCCCTAAGAGGTGATATAGAAGTGTACTCGGTGGATCGCTTTCATAATGTTTATTTACCGAGAATTTGAACTTGTAAGTTTTTCGATAAGAGATTTTTTTTCTTTTGCCAGCCGTTAGTCTACCCGTTTTTTAACATCTTTTTCAAAGTCTGAATCGTTTTTAATTTTTAGAAGCTTTGTGCTGGTCTTTGTTCTAATTTTTTGCTTAAGCTCGTTAAATTTTGCGAGCTCTCTCGTAATCAATTTCGCTCTTCGTGCGATACATGTATATCTCCGTCGTTGATGGCTTGAGACATGTATTCCTCAATCGTGTTAAGTTTGGAGTCCGGTCGTGCTTTTTCAGCTTGGCGGATAATCGCTTAGACGCGATTCTAAGCAGAATATCTACACCAAAAGCGCCTATAAATGTTCCTTCTAGCACCAATCCAACGGGGGCTGATACAACACCCAAGAGAGCGGGAATACTGAGTGACAGCCCCCGCTATAGCCCCCAATCCTTCTAATCCTAGCTCTGCGTAAATAATAGTGTCGATCATTCTCTTAATTTTTTTATAAGTACGCTCTCGGTGGTCTCTCTCTTTCAAGATTAAAGATCGAATCTCTTCAATCTTTTTAAGTCTGTACACTTTTGTTTCTTCGTTACTATTTAATCGGAGTACATCTCCAGAAATATCGGGGTATAATACCTTATTATCTATACTCATGTTTTTAATATAAAAAGATTTTAAAATTAAAACGTCTCCAACTCTATCATTATACTCACACCCTTGTTTTACAATGTATGATCTGTCCTTTTTCACCTATGATTGAAAATGTCAGTTTGTCGATTATACCGTTTTTAAGTTTTTTGAAATCCTCAACTCTATCAGGCTCGGGTTCGCGCGTACCCACGGGTACGATTTTTAAGATATCAGACGGTCGACCATTGAGGAAATTTTCACTCGTACTTAATTGCGGGCAGCGAATAAACAAAAACTTAAACAGATTAACGTTGTATTAAGACCCTGTATACACCACTTTGGGTATCAGTCTTCCTTTGGGCAAATTAAGTAATCGAGAGACTTCTCTGTTTAAGGGCAATTTGAGATTTACGTCGGTTACCACCAACGTCACCTTTTTAGATTCTCTTAATATTCGAAAACTTACCCCAGGTATATAATAAGTTTAAAATGAAATTGAACCAATCGACGTCGTACCACCCCGGTGGTATGGTGACCGAACCGGTGACTCCAGCTGGTACAGCGCTAAAAAACTCGGAGAAATATAATCTAAATTATCACCAGACACGATAAGACTCCCCCGTATTGTTACCCAGGCTTCTCTAATCATTCTAACCCTAGGTTTGCTTAAATACCTTCGATATATTCTAGCGCTTTCTTTTTACCTTCATTGATGAAGCCTTTTCTTTCAAATAAAGTTGTTATTAAAAATATAATTGTATTGCGTTGTACGTTGGGTAGTGTTCTTTCTTGAATTTTATTGTGTAAAGTTCTTTGTCTTTCAATTATTTGACCTATTTCTTCTTCGAGCGATTCTAAAGCAGAGTCTAGTCTATCTTCTTCGTACGCTTCTTACTCTTCTTCGTACGCTTCTTACTCTTCTTCGTAACTCTATTGAAAGTATTTTCGTCGTTAATTAAAAAGTTGTAGGGTATCTCAGGTATAAACGATTCAATAAAATCTCTATCTGTTCTTACTTCTGTATCTGAGTTAACCCGTTCGTATCTTCTATCATCATCAGGTCTTTCAGCGGGTCTCCCGTCTATATTCGTATACCAATCAATCTCCGTGGAGCTGGAAATATTGAAATATCCAGGGTTAAACATCACCCTTTTTACGTGTACAGATTTTTGACCGTTTAAATTATCTACGATGTCTTCTAATTTAAACGTCTGCTCATTTTGAAACAAGTGAAACAAATGCATTTATTTAAAAGTCTTTTTATATTAAAACTGAAACTAGAATAATGAGTGGTTTTGAGTTGTTAAAAAAGCAGATATACAAGGTATAGCTTAACAGATAACGAATCAAGTAAATCAAAATGTAGCCAAAGCACCCAAGCTAACGCATCAAGCTGCATCCCAAGCAAAGTTTTTAGACAGCACTAAACCCAGTGAACTGGAGGTCATAGTTAATAATACCAACGGGTTTTTAACCTTGTTTCCCGACTTAACCTCGTACTATAAATTGCCTCACGTTGAGACGGATGAGAATGTAGATCGTTGGAAATCACACCCCATGCCGTTTTATCAAAATCAGTTAAATTTTGCGATCTACTGCGCTACTACGGGCTGCGGTGTTGGATTCGATCTTTTAAACGCGGGCAACAAGTACGTTTGGGCCATCTTTAACTTTCATTTATATTTTACGGTTAGAAAGATCCTGTACGACTTTGCCGCTCCTTTACCGGGGGATGACGCATTTAACGCTTTAGACAACAGTTATAATCAAAGAGCATTTACCGATACCTGTTTGTTGTTTGGCATAGATCAAACAAGTCTTTTAAACAGACGAGAGACACAAAATCTAGCGGTTTAGGTACCTCGTACATGTACATGTACATCTTTAATAAGGGCAAGTTTGTGGCGGTTGGCAAATACGATAAAGCATTACCCGACAACCCCAACGTTATTTACGGCGGCTACCACGGTCTAGATAGTCCTAAAAAGAGTGGAAGCAGTTATGTTCCTTGGACGGTTATTTACATCGAACAAAATGAATCGGTACAAAAGGCTTGGTTAGATTTTATACCCGACACGAGTTCGTTTACCCCCGCGGGAATCATAAAGATCAACGAATCGATTAGATCTTAGTGTACGCTTTACTCGGTGCGCAAGCTCAAACAAAAACGAGCGTATTATCACCAGGCACCAGATTAGACGCTCAGAGACAATTTAACGTCATCGTAGAAAACATCATCAATGGAGTAGACGACATGGAAACGAGTATCAATCAATTTCAAGACTCTTTGCAGTATGCCAGAACGCCTTAATTTTTGTCGTGAAACCGGGGTTGTATTTAATTCCATCCGATATGAACTTGAGGGTTGGAACGCACGACGGCTATAACAACAATCTTCGAATCGCTACCCAGATTATGAAAACTGGTTTGGTGCCAGATTTAAACTCACAACCTCAACCGGACGACTCTTTTGATGACACCGATGACGTCGCGCCACCAACACCCCCAGAGCCTATGACGAACGATATTGTAACACCAACACCAACACCAGCACCTACACCCTCACCAACACCTACACCCTCACCTACAGTTTTAACCAGGAGCCCACGAAACTACAAACTCACCAAGACAAAAAATTATCGTTGACGGTAGGAATGTTAGCTATCGTTGGTATGGGTATTTTGGCT